TAAGTGAGAAGCACAGAGCCGAAGACACAAGCCTGAAGATGATGAATGAGACTTCATCGAAACGTTGCCTAGATACTTCCAATCTTACGTGGGAGAAAACCTGAATAACCAAATATCCACATACAAATACCCGCGAGAACCTCAGAAAACAAATTTTATATATATATATAAAATAAAATATAAATATATATAAAATTTTATATATATATATAATTTTGATTGTACAAAAGAAAATGTTAGAGACACTGAATAATGGCATTTATTTATTTATTTATTTATCTATCAATCAATTTTTTCACTGTTCAAAAGACTTAGGGTGACTAATAGAACATGAGAGCACAAAATAAAATATCAATAAAACACTATGGGTAGCAAGTAACTCCCATAACTAAAACAGATTTACAAAACATACTAGACCAGAATCTGTTCTTCAGGGTATTCCTGGTCATTCAAATCTTGAGAGACATGTTCCATAAGGAGATGTGGCACCAGAGAAGACATGCTTGATCTATTGACTATTAACTTATGATCTCCAGTTGTAGATGAGTTGAGATGAAGGGAGTTAGAGTGCAACACATTAGAAGGAACAAATTAAGGGTGCCTGCTTTATCTTCTACTTTTTTCCATATCTCAAGAATAAATTATACCTATAGCTATTATAACCTGAAACCTGGTTTATATGCAATTGCTTTTTGCTGGAAGATACTTTTTTGTGAGCATACATCAAGTCACTGAAAGGGTCTCTTAACACAAAAATTAAGCTGTCAAAAGTAGTTTGGAACATAGACCTGCAATTCTATATGTACACAACTTGTTTAAATGTATAAGAATTTATGTATCATTCATAGATATCTTTTTGTGGGCTTAAGAGAAAAAAAATTCTTGTTGCTTCTTGGAAACATACATTTTTAATATAAAATGGGAAATATTTATTTTTAGTGCTCACTTCAGCAGCACATATACTAAAATTGGGAAATATTTATTTTTAATCTAAACAGTCCGAAAGGCAACATGAAGAGCAAATAGATATGTGTGTACTATAACCTTTAATATATTTTATTACTCTTGTCCCATCTACTTATTAATTTAGCTGGGATGTATGGTTATCTAAATATCAAAGACTGTGGAAATCCAGATACTTTAACAAGAAAGTTATCCTTTAGAGAACTGAAGATGATTAAGAACTGGGAATATTTCATTGCTGCAGAAGAAATCACCTGGGATTATGCTCCAGAAATTCCTAGAAGTGTTGATAGGTAACTTGACTGAATGTGGTTAAATAGATGAAAAGATTTCATAAAAATTCATAGGATTTATCCCAAACTAAGGCCTTGTAGACCAGGGATCCCCAACCACAGGTCCATGGTCTGGCACCAGGTCACAGCATGCCAGAAACTGGACCATGCAAACAAGTGAAGCCCCATGAATACAAGCTGCACACGAAACCACATCCCCTCTGGTCTGCAGAAAAACTTCTCTCCATGGACCTGGTCCCTGGTGCCCAAAAGGTTGAGGACCGCTGCTCTAGACCATTTAAATTAAGGGAAACACATTTTCATCATGTTAAATTATAAAGTATGAATCTCTCTCTTGCTTCTTAATTCCATAAAGTAAATGTTTATTGTTATGCTGTATGTAGAAGTCATTTCATATTATATCATATTACATTTTTAATTAATCTTTCTATTTTCATACAATTATGCAGGGAAAACAAAATGGCAGAATGAAAGAATGAAAAATTCATAATAGAAATTCATTCACAGTACTGTCATAGTTCCATTCTTTTTCCAATAAACCCTCATCTCATTCACTTCTTAAGTTTAGGAATTAAAATTTCTTTGTCACAAAGTTTTTCCAAAAGATCTTTGAGATTTTCAAGATATTACATTGTCACAGAAAGAATCTCTTGCTACTATTTCAGTTTTTAAAACCTTGTACATTGGGAGGAGAGCAATTCTGAAAAGAAAAAGAAGATATTTGAGGAAGATTAAAGCATCCTATTCTTTAGCACTTTTTCATTTTTATTCTGAAGCTAACAGATAACAGATAATCAGAGTTGGAAGGGACCTTATAGGTCATCTAGTCCAACCCTCTGCCCAAATGGGAGACCCTACACCATTTCTGACAAATGGCAGTCCAATCTCTTCTTGAAGGTCTGAAGTGATGGTGTTCCCACAACTTCCGAAGGCAAACTGTTCCATGATTTCCTTGTCCTGGATTAAGTATGCAGTGTGTTATTGGAAGTACTCAAATTTTCAAATATAGGAGGTGACTGAATTATTTTTGAGTTTGTTGACATAAATGTAAAAACATCACAAGAAACTGAAGAGAATGTTACTGCAGCCAATTAAAACAATAAAGTTGGAATTCAGTACCCATCAAGCCTGTCAGAATAGCCAAGGGTTATTGATAATAAGAGAAGTGTCTGACCAGAGTCAGGAATGAAAGTGCCATCACCCAATAGCATTAGAGGGTCTAAGATCCATCACCTGATTCTGTATTTATTTGGACATCTATGTATACAACTTTTTCTGGGTTTTTTAAACTACATTTTACATATGCTGGTTGTTTATCATGTAGATTTGTAAACACTGATTTACCCACTCATGCAAGATTTGGGGCTTTTTTTGGTGTGTGTGTGTTTCTATATAAGAAATCTTACTAATGTCTATTTTTTTTTTCTTTTCTCAATTCTAAAGAAGATACAAAGCTCAGTATCTGGATAATTTTTCAAATTTTATTGGCAAGAAATACAAAAAGGCAGTTTTCAGGCAATATAAAGACAGCAGTTTCAGTAAACCGACCTATGCCATTTGGCCCAAAGAACGTGGAATTCTGGGCCCTGTTATCAGAGCTGAAGTCAGAGACACAATAAGTGTAAGTATTGATGAACAAGTAAGTAGATTACAATCCCATTTTATTTCATTTGCACACAGTAATAGAATTAGCTTTAAATATATTTTGCTTATCTAATGCATACATAATCTTTACTGATATCAAGACTAAGCTATTCAACTATCAATGAAAAGTAAAGGAACTTGGATAAGAATAACTTTTCATATTTATTTCTATGAAAGTTAAGACTTAATTTCTATAATTTTAACCATGTGTTTCTTGTGGATTTCTCCACTGACAGAATACTTTATCTGTAAAAGCCTTTAGTTTATCTGCTCAATATCTATGGTATTTATCCTGCATATGTTATTCATGTCTTATTCTTGGTAACAGTAAATTCAAGTGAATGAGTTTCAGTACCTTCACTTCAAATAAAGTACATGTGATCCTCGCTTAGTGACCATTTATTAGTAATTGTTTGAAGTTATGTTACTGCTGAATGGGGCTTATGACCATCGCTGTAGCGGTTGCCAATGCAGTATCCCCATGGTCACATGATTGCAATTCAGGCACTTGGCAACCAGCTGATGATGCAGTATCCCAAGAGCACATGATTTCCACTTGTGACCTCACTACTGGCTTCCAATATGCAAAGCCAAAGGGCAAACCAGCTGTGAGGCAATCCACACCATATCACATTTAACTATTGTGTGGGATTCACTTATCAATGGCAACTAGAATTACTGTGTAAGTCATCATGGTCATGTGACATTGTTCTTTACAACTTTGTTGCTTAGCAACAGAATTGCCACTCTCAATTACCATCATTAAGTGAGGATCAGCTATCAATTCAGTTTGGTCACTCTGAGACCCAGTTTGGTCTAATGGTGAATTCACCAGGCTAGAGTGAGGGGCTGTGAGTTCTAAACCCACCATAGCCATGAAAGCCAACTGGGTGATCTTGGGCTAGTCACTCTCTCTCAGCCCAACTTACCTCACAGGGTTGTTGTTGTGGGGAAAATAGCAAGAGGATGGTATATTTTTGCCAAATATAACAAAGGCAATAAATAAATAAATATTGAGTAGATATTTCACACAAATTTTACACTAGTGATATCTGGCATCATCTGTGGCAAAGTAAAGCCTGGATACTTATAATGTCACAGAAATGGTTGGATCCAGGGGAGGATTTCTACCAGTTCTGTCCACCTCTGTAGAACCGGTAGCTCTGAAGAGCAGCAGACATAGAACCGGTTCTATGTCTGCTGATGTTTTTGCCC